TGTTTTTGTTTTATATTGCTTTAAACACTGGCAGTAAGAAAACTTGCTGATTTAAAGTGCTATTTTTGAATGCAAGTTTTCTGAGTGTACTGGGAGGGGTATGTTTGCTTGCTTTTTTCCATGTGGGTTCCTTAGCAAAACGTGTCTTTGATTTAAAAACAGTAACAGTCCTCGGGGAAAAAAATGAACAACTGGTTGAACTAAGCATATTTAAATTTCTACAGGCAGCAATAACAGCCTTTGCGCATTAAGTAAACACAAAGTTGTGCCGGTGGCCTAGATAGGTCCTGCCCACCTCTCTCACTCAAACAGGCTTCAGCTGGCTTTGAAACGGTGTGGTGTTTCACCTGCTAGCAGGATCTCTTGCTCTATTGGCTGAACTGATCTGTAAGCCAGTTAGAAAGGCCCAGCTTGCTTGTTGCAGTAGAAACTGATCCCAAAAGCTTCTTTTCCTGATGAAAGGGAGGACTACTTTTTTTCAGTTACCCTGCTTTTATCACCTGTTTCTGTACAGGCTAACCAGATACTTACTGGAGGTAAGACTAAAATAACCATAGAAGGATAAAGTAGTATAAGTACCAGCCTTGCTTGGGGGCTAAAATTGCTTCTGAAGCCAGTATTTATGAGCTTGTAAAAATTCTTCCTGATTTGGCTGTGTATTTTTTGCTATCAACCATGTGATGTACTAATAACAATTAGCTTGGTAATGATCCATCACGTTAAATATGAGTAGAGGGAAATGATACTGTTTCGGATTAAACAAATTGCTTAAGAAGGGTGAGCTTGTATGTGGGTCTGGTAGGAGATATGTACTTTGAGCCTGAACCCTAGCATCCCAACAGATGAGGAAGAGGAGAGGGGCACTTTCATTTGATTCTTAGCATCCTGTCCTTAAATTCATTCTTCCCAATAACTCTTTCTAAGGATCCTATAAAGCTACAGTGTATCCCCTGGGACAAGGAATGTCCTGGAATGCAAAGTACATGTTTATCAGCAGTTTGAAGTGCGAAGCAGAAATCACAGGGTTGCCTGCTTTCCTTACCCAGTCTGCATTTCTGCACACTTAAAACTTCTCCCCCCCACCCCCCCAGTTTCTGCTGCTTAGCTAGA